TATTCATTGCAAAGCTAACTGTGTGCGATGGCCATGAAGGACATTTTTCTTCCTTCTTTTTTTTTTTTTTTTTTTAATCTGGAATCAAAGAGGTGGGTCCTTTGATAGCTGTAAAGGCCGCCCCCTCGCTGCCTTTTTAACATGCACGGCCAGGCGCATTCTCATCTTGTGGGCTCAGTGTTGACAAATAAATGAACTTATTATACACCCCCGCTGGGCCTCTGCCAAGGGGCGAATTTATTAAAGGCCACCTCGAGCCAAGAGGAAAGAGCACACAAAGCCCCCTGCGCATTACATCACTGCTGTAAGAGGAGGGGTGAGGTGACAAAGGCACACACGGATTTACTGTACGTGTGCGGTGAGCGCAGGCAAGGAACAATGCACTGATGCCTGCATGCATTAAGACGCGCACGCACGCACGCACGCACGCACGCACGCACGCACGCACGCACGCACGCACACACACACACACACACACACACACACACACACACACACACACACACACACACACACACACACACACACACACACACACACACACACACACACACACACAGCACACACAGCACACACACAGCACACACACAGCACACACACAGCACAAACGCTGGTTTGTGAGGCCGCTGAGTGGCAGACAGTGGGCAGCAAGCTGATTCTTCGCACTCAAGACAAGACAGGTCTGTGGCAGAACAAGGACGCGCGCGTGCAGCCGATGCAAGCCGACACGCCGGCCTGGTGGCTGCTGCATGTGTGGGGGGGGGGGGGGAAAAATGGCCCTATTTTAAGAGGCCCCCATTGATATTCATGTTGAGGAAAAACAGTGTATGTAACTGAATGGGGACCCCTGCGATGGAAAACTCCCCGGGAACAGCGGCTGGCTGGCCTGGCCTGCACGCCTCTCACCCCCTCAATGGCCCTTTCTCCTCCGTGTGCCTCCTCATCTCCATTCCTCCATGTTCCCAACCCCCCCACCTTGAAACTTTATCCTCGGGCTTCTGGTCACACAGTCTGTTGCCCTACATGGCCCACTCCTCCTGGGTGGCTGCAATGCATAGCATGCACATTAAACTTGTAAATTCATTAAAGTTGGAAAGTTGAACAACAGCCAAAAGAAGAGAGAGGGAAAAAAATCTTTCCTCCTCACCAGGACTATAAATCAGGGTCTTGTATTCTATACATGTAGCGCTTATTGACCTTGTTTATTAAAGGAGCAGCATTACCGGGACCCGGGGCCTGTTGACTGATTAAGGCCAAACACAAACATCATTTTGGGATTGGCATAACAGTGTGTTTCACCGCTAACGCAACACGGCCCTGTAGTCAAAACAAGGTCTGTGGGGAGCTTCTGGGACGGTACGACGACTTTAGGAGTTCTTCCCCGTGCACCGAGGGGAGAAATCTCTGATCGGGTAACAAAACCTCGATCGCTGTCGGGAGAGTCTGAGTCACTTGCTCAAACTGTGATTTCTTCTCGTTTGCCAGAAAACAGAACTCCTTAAATTGTTGCACCCCGTGAGAGCTTCCTTCTGCACCGATTATCTCCACTGACTCAGCCGCAACTTTGAGGCGTTGGTGAGAGTCGGTGTTACAGACAGATTCGGATCGGATTAAAAGGTGAAATAATACAAAAAACCCGTAAAATTCTCTCTCGTTGTAGCCGATATGATTTGAGAAAAAAAAAAAAAAAAAAGTTGGAAGAGAAAGCAAAGAAAGACTGATGTCATGACATAAATGTTCAGGTCAAACTTGCTGCCACTAACATTTACTTTACTTCAGATCACAAATATTAGTCTTTGTGGTCAACATGACCTCCAAGGAAAACATGTAACCTCAGAAACATTTTGATTTCTAAACCTTGTGGGATGATTGGAGCCTCTGAAGCCAAAACCTCTTTCTTTGTGTTTCTGGTGTGACTCAGCTGGCCACAGTATTTACGGTATGATACCGATTACACCAGCAGAATGAAGGTGAAACGGGGGGGGTCAGGACGTGCCACTTGATGACCCGCTCTGCGGTTCGCTTCATGTGATGACGAAGCAAACGGACCGGACACGATTGCTCAGATCGGCGGCGCGTGCACAGAGATGATAATTTGTTGGGAGGACGTAGTTAATTTGTCTGGGTTCTGAGTCATCCAGCATGGAAGGCGGCCCCATGTATACAAACACCAGTAAAGACCATCCCGTTGACCACATCTGAGGGGAATCATTCGGAGCAGAGTCTGGAGGCGGTTCTCCTCGCAGGGAACACTCGCACAGGCAGCTACAGGAAGCGTGATGCGGCCTGTGGACAAGTGAGTCTTCACAGCAAAAATGAAAGGTGGTCTTATGAATCATCTTAGAATTACTGTTGGATTTAAAGAATTCCCGTTTACTTCATTCTGTTCAAAAAAAAACTACGAGTTCATCCCCTGAACATATTTTCATTAATTGAGAATGAAATACCACACAGGTGGTGTATGCAATTATGTCGTCCCTCTTTCTTTAAGGTTAGAGGCTATTTAGAAAACGCTGCATATAGTGTGCAGGTTTGATGAATGCGGCAACGCTGGTGAATACCTCTCATTCTTTAAATCGGGCAGACTAAGAGGTTAATAATCATTGAGTTACTTCACACAGCCCAAAAGACAAAACCCAAGAAGTGGTCAAATACTATCCGGAGATAAAAGAGCGACTACCCACTTTCTTAAATCGCTTGTTATTTACATCCCGACTTGTAGCGAAATCTTCTTTGTGTCCTACGGGACAATTGACTCTCCCTTGGACAGCAGTGATGGCCCTCGTCCAGAAATTTCTTTTGATCAAGGTCTACAACTATTGTCACCATTCCATGCATTGCACTACAGAGAGGGCCATAATCCCTGCCAATATGGCAAGAAGACGGGGCTCAATAACCGCAGCAGACAGGTTGGGGTGCATCTGTCTGCCCTCTGCACCCCGTCCATTCTCCCACTTTACCTCCATTGAATAAGAATGGAAGAGGAAGCTCAGAGTGCTCGGTGTCTGTGTGTAGGAATGGAGGCTCATAATCTCCCTTAATGAGCTTGTTTCTGGGCCATTATCCGGCGGCCTGCCTGAGGGAAACGCTGGTGTTTCCTATCAAGTGGCCCCGCAGCGCTGACCCCTCGCATGGCTCTGCATATGAAATGTGAGGGCCGAGCCTTTTGTCTCTTTTCTCCCAGCCTCTAGCTGAGCTCCCGGGCCATTTGCATAGTCCTGAATGGACCAGCCAATGTTATTAATTAATACAGAGCCAGCCTGCGCCACCTGACCAAATCCCACCGAGTGGCCCGAACGGAACTGTTTCATCAAAAGAGAGGAGCCATTAGGAATGAGAGGCCTTACTCTCCACTTCTCCTCTTTTCTCTCTTGTTCCCCTGAAAACACAGGGCCACGGTTTTATGCATGTTTTCTTTTTCAGCATTGGGGCAGCGGTGGTGGGAGAAGTGGGCGGGTGGTACGAAATAGGAAGGCCACAGGTGACCTGTTGTCTTGCGAATGTAAATCCTCCTGAGAGATCTCCTCCTTCTGCTGCGCCTTCACCTTCTCAGCTACGCTCCGAGACGTCTTCCAGGAGGATTCTCTGCCGATAACCCGGAGATTTACGGCTGGGAACGTTCCACAAATGGGGTTTCAAATTCCCAGAGATCTTCAGATCCACCAAATGGTTGCCTCATGTGCTCGCTCTCTCTCTCTCTCACTCGGTCTTGCCCTCAGTCTGTGTTGGCGTGGATACAAGTCTGAGGAGAGCATACACAGATAAATGGCCTGTTTCTAATCTGGAGCTATCTCCAGAAAGATTCTCTCCTAAAACACAATATCAGGAGGACGACTCGACGAGGCTCGTAAATTTATTTCCACTGCCTCATTGCCGCAATTAAGGACAAAGTGCACGCTGAGCCTTTCACAATGTTGCTCTGCGGAATAGGTCTGATCACTGACGCGCTGTCGTTCCACTCGTTAACCCGCTGGCACCAAATGAGGGGTGAGAGACGTGGGGTCAGACCGGGAGACGTGGTAGGAAAGAGCGAAGGAGAAAGAGAGGAAACAGGCGCTTCAAGTTATTTTTGCTGGGAACTCCTCTTGCCCTTGATTGTGAGCCAATACACGTCCCTGCAGGTGGTTCCATCCCTTTTTTTTTGTTGCAAATACCTGTCCCCTCCCTTGTATATCCATCTAACTATACACACTATCTGAATGATGTCAGCACAAGGCGCTGTTTCCCATGAGGGGGTGTAGTTAGCATTCCTGTTTGAGGCCTGCAGAAAAGGAAGCTGCACTGGTGGTGGGGGGTTACCCAGAAAGCCAGTAACAAAGGAGGGCCAAACAGACGTATTGTGAGGGCACTTTGCAAATTTTCCACATTATTGTCAGACATAAATCCCTGTTAAAGACGAGCAAATGCACTATTTTCCAATCTCTAGTTATGGCTTCTTGGTAGCTTTCAACTTGGAGGTGACGCAAACAGGAGAAAGCTGCCCCGTAGTGAATCTCAACATGTCAACAAGCTATCATGTCCTCCAGCTGTAGGGCGGTTAGGGTCAGAAGTTTGGGGGGGGGAGGGGGGGAAACGGGGAAGGAAGGTGGCAGAGGAAAGAGATATGAAAACATAACATGCCTTAGAATTGGCTATGCGAAAACAATACACTCCTCTGGCTTTCCCCAACTCCCCCGTCCCCGCTTGCATCTTCACGCCTCTTCGGATCATGTTCTGGGCTCTCTGTCCCTCCCACGTCTCGCTGGATGTTTGATCCTGAGAGAACAATTCACCTCCAGAGCAGAAAGACAATGGCCTGCCCGCCTCCACCCTGTCCATTCCTCTTCTCGACAGCGTGCTACATGGGAATGCCCCTCAACCGGGCTTAATCTGCTTTGAAGTGTCACTGGATGCTCTGAAAGCCACTGATATGCTTCTAAAACACATGACCACATACCGGCTCCGGGAGAAGACAGATGATGGACGTCAGACCTGGGAGACTCACCCTGAGATGTCTTCCATGACACATGCTTTTCTAAAGGCCGAATATTTTCCCATCGGAGTTAATACATCTCACTTAAGTCACGGCGGGCCGGGACTGGCCCGCGGCACACCCCTGAACGGAGCTGTTACCGCACGTTGTCGAGAGAAGCGCGCTTTGACGACCTGCCGCCGGTAGAAGAATGTGGAGATAAAGACATTTTACGGCGTGATAAAGTATGTCGATTGCGAGCCATCACTGCCGGGCTTCATCAGCGGCACCCTTTTGGTTCTTTGACATGGACACCACTGGTTTGGACAAACACCCGCGAGTGACACAGGACATTGAGCGCGTGAGCGTGCCCGCCGCGTCCTACCTGTGGCACAGAGGGCGATGAAGGTCTGGACATGTTTGCGTATAAGTGCCAGCTTATCCTCGGGCAGCGGCAGCCTCCTCACAATGTGCTCGATGAAGTCGTTGGGTGTCACTGCCGCCAGGTTCCACTTCAACTTCCCCAACACCACCAGTTCCCACTCCTGGAGAGAGAGCGAGAGGGGGAGACAGAGGGAGACAGAGGGACAGACACAGATGAGACCCAGGAGAGGTCAGGACAAGATAATGAGGAAGATTCATGTGAGCCAACGTACAATTACATATTTACATTTTAGACAGGTTAGACGGCACGTTACTGAAGTCACAGCTGGCTGCACTGCGGCCTAAAGAAGGCCGCGTGCCGTTACTGCGTGTGGAGGTTTAGCATTATTGTTATTACGTTGGACTCGCCATGGCCGAGAAACCCCAGCAGCGCCACCAACCCAGGTGACCTCACAACACTGTCTCCCTCCCCATCTGTCTGTCTGGCATCTGGGGACTTTCCATAAGAGGCCCACCAGAGGTTGTACAGTGTGTGTGTGTGTGTGTGTGTGTGTGTGTGTGTGTGTGTGTGTGTGTGTGTGCACGCGCGTGTCCCATTATTTTTCTATATTGCATCTTTCTGCCAATTCTGTTCTGTAAATAAATTCACCCCTTTCGGAGTAAACGGAGCGGCACGTATAGTAAGATACCTCACAGGAAACACCGCGGGCAGCGTTTGAAGTGCAGTTTTGAATCACACGTAACTCTACACCTATTCTGTGTCATCGGACTCGGAAGAATTCAATTCTCTGTACTTCACAAATCACTTTTAACGCGGCTCTCGTGGCAAATTGTGGAGGGACAACGGGCGTGGTGTTCTGCTCTGTAAAGGGTGAATCATTACTTTCACTTCCTTGAGGAGGAAGTGATTAACGGAAGAGGTGGTGACTAATTCGGGAAAAATTTTCGTGGTTTGGTTCCGGACTGCAGCCTTGTGACCGGGACCAAGGATGCTCTTTATTTTCCCTTTCAGTGAGAGAGAGAGACCACATGGACTCAGTCATGAGACAAGTCAACATGGCTACCACTGACCCGGCATGCTTATCCAAGGGCCATTTCTCAGCTGTTTCCTCAGCTCTGTGATGCTACGAACACGGATAGAAGTGGTGCAGAGGGTTTTAAACAAAACATCAACAAAAACAAAGATTGTGTTTGTACCCACTGATACCCATGAGGGAGGAAGCGAGAATTGGAAAGCACCTCTGACTGAAAAAAGGTTAAAAATATCTTCATCTGCTTGCTTGAAGGTGTGTAACCACGATGTGAGAGATTCAACAATTTGATCATATGCAAATCATGGCCCAACAGTGGCCTGTTGATTGCGTCAGCCCGAATGTCTGCAACGAGGCTGCCCCCTGCTCTCAAAAGCCTCTTTCCACCGGAGACGGCAAGCCGGATTCAGGCCTACAGCGAGGGCCGTGAAGAACCTTGCAACACAGGCTCGGTACTGACGAGAGTGGCAGGCATGCAGGCACCCACTTCCTTCTGCTATAGTGCCTTCCTCTGGTCACACCATCTTTGTAACATTGCGGTTCTCTTTACAAGAAATTGTTACCAAAGACAAGGACAAAAAGAGAAAAAAAAACGATCACATGCCCCGAGCAGCTGATCTCTGTTTCCTGTATCTGCATGTCAGCCAAAATACTGCCTTATACAGAAACAGAGCGAAGAGGCCCCGGCAAACCAGTTGGGACTGAGGGCTGGGTCTTCAGACTGATCATAAAAAGTAGGACGTTTTTTGTTTTTTTTTGTTGTCAAGTGCAGCAAAAAGATTACCGTTTTATTACACGAGTCCGCCCCGTCTAACACCACTTTCCCATTTGAACGCATGTCACCCCTACAACCACGATACGCTGACCATTGCACCTTTCCCTGAGTCAGAGTATGTGGCCTCTTTCACAACATGGGTGGGATTGGCTGTTGTTTACTAAGGAATGTTTATGAAGCACCACAGAGCGGTGGGGAAACACTTATCTGATGTGAAACTGAGTCAATTAGGTGGTAAGAGTCGGTACCATCAGGCCTCAGGGAACATAGCACAGTCTAATGGCATTTTGCCGACTCTAAAAGACACCTGCAAGCCCCACTCACTTATGTGCTTCGCTGTGACTGGGACCTACATTTCATCGCTGAAAAATGTGTGAGGAGCAAAAATAGCGCCGCATGACATAACATCAGAAATGCTTGCATCAATGGTTATTTTTGGACAGAGGCTGAACTGTAAAAGGCAAACTTGTATTTCTCTGTGTCTCTCCCTCTAAGGCTGACAGGAACAGAGTCAGAACTTTGGCCGAGGTTCAAGCTGACCTCGTTGCTCTGTGAAAATATCTGCCAGTAGATGGCGATGGAGACCATTGCACGGCCGCGATGGTTACTGTAAAGCCCAGTGGGTCTGGTACAGTGAAGAGATTCATTGTGGAACAATTCAGTGTGAGGCTTTCGCTTTTCGTGCACCTCTTGATGATGGCGCGACACGACAGAGCCGGTAAAAAGAGAACAACCCTGCAGGTACATTTATAAAACAAACGCACTTGAATACCATAAAACCAACTAAACACCCCCCCCACCCCGCTTTTCAAGACAAAACGTACATACATCATGGTGTCTTGCTTATGTCAACAACATGAATCGTCATAGGAACGACAGTGAATTTTGTGAAAAGTGTTAAACCAACGTTTGCTTACCAGCAGTTCTTGTGGTCTGATGGAGTTATCTGTGTAGATGCAAAGCTTCTCTGCGGTTAATGGACGGGTCTCTTTCAATTTGGATGCAAGAAACATGCACACTGCTCCCAGCAGCTGCAGGTTGCACTTTTTGGTGGGTACCACAGCTAAAAATCTATCTAAGTAGTTCATGGCCAGGGGAAAAACCTCTTCCTCGCACTTCTCCTCCTCACAAACCTGAAGAACGAGACAGCAGACAATGCAGCAATGTTCAACGTTTGGAATCAGTAACCCACCCTGGAGTGAGCGGACTTATTTTCCAGCACTTTAGAATGTGTATAAAACTTTTATGAGAAAACGAAACAAAACTCTAATCACATAAAGAGCACATATAAATTCAATGACACGCATAGTTGGGGCCGGGCCAAGAATTTGCGCCCAGCCCCAATCGGTTGCGACATCAGAAATTAATTCGGAATAGATTGTTTCATAAAGAAGGAAATAAGTCCCAAAGGCATATTGTCAATAGAGTGGCTTTCATGTAGTCCAAAAAGAAATGAATTCAAGTCACAATTACACGAGCCAAAAAACGATCCCGACAGAGCAGCACACGGAAACACATTTTTTTTCTTCATTCGTCATATTTTCATAAAATAATTAAAAATACAGATAAATTATCTAGACTAATTTCCTTCATACCATAATGTTCAGAAAGGTCTTCTGTATCATACCCGACAATACATCACCAAATCCATGCGCGGTAAATAAGAATAAAACGTCAAAATAAAGAACGAGTACCAAGAGGTTGGTCTGATGTGCGTCACTGGCGACACGATATATTTATTTCAAAAATTAATTAAAAATCTTCAGTGCGTCGGACCGTCACGATATTTACATGAAAATAAAGAGCACAGCCTTGGCATTGTTTATGGGTACGCGTCGATCAAAAATATTACACGGAGTGTCAAAATTCGAACATAATTCCACAGAGAGGCAACGCGTCGGGGGGAAGATCCAAAGGACAAATAAGGCCCTCGCCCTCTCCGACGTTTCGAACAGATACATAAATGTTTGCAACGCTTCTTGACATCATTCATACATTCAGTGCACACAAAAGACCGTCTTCTGTCATTGCCGACGGGTTTGTGTCGCTGTTATCGCGTTTACGACACTGTAAAGTCCTCTTAAAAAACACGAGCGCGAGAAGCCAACATGGCGGTAGAGCACCACAGGCACACAGCATCGGGGAGTGCATACGTGTGCACGGAAATAATCCGTGTATCTACAATATTAACGTGACAGAATCGACATGCAGCTCGTGCAAGCGACACGTGAAGTACGGCGGGTAAAACCCTTCAGGTGTCACCGATATCACCGCTGCGAGTTTCACGGACAAACGTCTTCGCGACGGTAAAAAAAAACAAAAAAGAAAATGGCAAGAAGTTACAGAAAGCGACGCAATCGGTTAATATGAGGTATAAGCGTTAAGTCCCGTCTGCTGTCCGACTGGTGCAAACAGCGGTCGGTAAAGCAGAAACTAAACAAACCGGGCGGCTTTTTAGATCGAGCACGGAAATAACACGACTCGCAGGCACTCGGCGGTTCGGTGTACCTCCAACATCCAAGTGGCGACCATCCTCCTCATAAAGGGCTGAATATCTTTCTGGACGCTTTTGAAATAGGAATGTTGGGGTAGAAACCTCTCCTCTATGGTCAACAAGCTCTGCAAGACTCTGTCATCGCACAGGAGGTTCGGATCGGGACGAGCTCGGATGGTGTCCATTTCGAGGCAGAGCAGCTCCATGGTGCTTTCACTTAAGTGGAAAAAAAAGGTAGTATTTCTCTCACCGAAGCGAAGATGCGGCGTTACACAGCGCGAAAAATGCGAAAAGGATGGCAGTGGAAGTGTTGAAGAGGCATAAAAAGCGAGACTGCAGGAGCTCCGTAAGAGTAGTCCTGCCTCTCCTCGTCGAGAACTTTTTCCTCTCTCCCCACAGTGCGCCTCTACTTTCATCCGCCTGGCCAGATTAGGCGCATTTCATGCATGCGCCACTGACGCAATTCACTTCACTACCTCCGCATAGACCAGAAGCAACACACACACACACACACACGCACGCACGCACACACACACACACCGTCCCTCTTTCTTCTTCTTTGGCAGCCACGAACTCCTTCAGCAAACGTGTTTCATTTAAGCGTGAATAAAGGTTGACTTTTTGTGCTCAGAGGTAGATCCGCCAAGTTTGTATCGATACGTGCATAATAAATAAATGCACTAAAGTTGACATTAAACCGACTCCTTTACATTTACACATAAACCGCTTCTGTAAATGAGGCGGACACATTGAAGTATGCGGCTGATGGATGTTACATTAAAGCATATGGTAGAACACGTGCTTTTCTGCTTTTTCATGCATATTTCCTTCAGGTGGTGGTTTGATTTTCTTGGGATGGTAATTACAGAATGGGGAGAACAACCGCAGTGTCACCTAACATGATACATGAGTGAATGCATTATGATTATTATTATTATTATTATTGTCATTATTTTCAGGATAAGAAAGCTGTGAGAAACTTCATGAGCTTCTAACAGGTGCTAGAAGTGACTCCTCGGGAGAACAGGTTTGAATACAGAGGAAGAAAAAACTCGACTCATTATTATCGCTATCTTCTCAAAATGTCAGCTTTTTCAAACGGACCCATTGAACCACAGCGCGCAGCGTATCTATGTGACCATAAACACTACATACAGCTGCGGGCGCGCACACACACGAGCACAATCTCACGCAGACCCACACACACGAGCGCATTCTCACGCAGACCCACACACACACACACACACACACACACACTCACGCTCACACACAGGGCGTTATGAACTATTTAATTCATTGCAGCCAAACTGCTTGTGGTTGATGAGATGGCTTTCTAGGAAATGTGAAGCAGACCTTATTTTTTTCTGTGTTCCGTCAAAGATAACAAGACCTTTGTCGGTGGACCAAAGACACTTGACTTCGCTCAACCCAAATATTATCAACCAACTCAACAAGTCCTGCTGTAAAGCACTTTATTTTTTAATTTTCGGACTTCCTTGATAATTCACGTACAAGAAGCAGGTGGAATCGAAGCGGAGAGCGCAAGTCATTTAATTAAGAAAAAAAGACTGCCAAGTGATTTAGCCTCACATGAAGCCCAAAAGGGAATCTGCATGGGTAAATATGGTAATCCCCCTCCCTATTCTTAGTCAACTCCAAAGACCGAGCTTTGAATGAAACGAGACTTCAGTTGCATCGGGGACAAGACTGGAGACTGTAAGTCCACAGAGCTTTAGAGTTGTTATTTTCCACCCAGCGCTTGTGGGCTATATCGCAATGCTAGTGAGAAAAGTGGGGGAAATGTCTCTTTAAAGTTTTTTTTTTCTTCCAGTCAAAGTTGTTTCCTCCTCCCTGTGTGTCTATTGGCATAGCCAATAGTCCCTCAGCGCTCGCCCGAGGGTGTGTGATTGTTACGGGCCAGATTTCTTCTTTCCCCCCCCCCCCCCCCACCTCCCCTCCTCTCCTCCCCCCCTCCCTCTCTCTGCACTGCTGTGGAAGGCTATCAGTCTCACCCAATAAAAGATGTCACTGCCGAACTTAAGTGCGCACACCGGAGTGTCTCGCGTGGCATTTTGGGTTTGAGAATTCATAAGTTCACGTTTGGTGTCGGTTCTCTTCGTGCTGATGTGGTTTCGCCATTCAGACGTCAGACGTGAGGAGAAACCCTGTGCCTGCGCGACACATCTGCATCTGCAGTGCATCCTGGGTAGTTGATGACATTTACAGAAACAAGTGGCCGCATCTTGAAACGAGGAAGAATGCATTCACTTCAGAACATTGTAAGAAAAGGGTTGTGCCACTTCGAAATAATAGGAAAAGAATGATCGAAATGATTGCGTTCTTTTAAAGGGGCATTTCTACTCTGCATAAGGAATTCAATTCATTTTCAAAATAGGACGTTTTTTTAATTAATTCGCGCAACTTTGTTTGAAATTATCCTCTGAGGAGTGCACACCTCAAACCATCCCGTTTCTTCTTTGATGCAAAGAATAAATCATTGGTAATTGATCGAAAACAAAGAGACAAATCCAGTCAAATGTGTCTGGACGGGGTAGTGAGGTGGAGAGACAGGTGCACCGAATCCTCCTCCTCCTCATCCAGCACCAGCAGCTGCTTTGCTCCAGCTCTCCAAACTGCGCATTTGCGCCTCTCAGAGTCATCACCTCCAGCATTTCACCACAGGCGGATTTCAGTCACGTTTGCTTCGTCACAAGCGCGTCATGTCATGTCGTGTCAAAAAGAAAGAACATGGCTGATAACAGGCAGCGGGTCTGTTAATAAAGATCCTCCTCGCCGGCATGCACCGCAAAACGCCAGAGTTGTTTTGGACACTACAAATTCAGTGTTTTCCATCCTGTGAAATATTAAAACAAGACTGGTAATATAACGCCCCCCCCCCCCCCCCCCCAAAAAAAACTTTTCTGAGACAATATTAAACAAAGGTCTTTCACCATTTTGAAAGAATTTTTTTAATGAAATAACCTCTAAAGACGCACTTGGTGGTTCAAACTTCCTTTTTCTCTCTTCCGGCAGCTCCTGCAGGAGAACAATGACCGCCAGCGGCTCCTCTGAAGGGGATCTCAGGCAGCAGCGGCGCGGTTCGTCCCCGGAGGCTTTCAATACCGTATCAGAATAAAATCGAAACGCAGCGCCGCCGTTTAGAAACATTACACGTTATGAGGAAAAACATTAAATACATTCATGTCAAAACCATGAGCGGATCAGTCATCGCAACCCGAAGTTTGAAAAGCCCCCCCCCCCCCCCCCAACACACACACACACACACACACTGCAAGAAATATCCTTTGGATCTAATGATTTGATACAGTTTCGCGGTTTGAAACGGTATTTCTCGCTATTAAAAAGTTTAATCAAATCAATCAGACAAGAAGCGGAGTCATGCCCGCTTCCTGGCAGCTTTATCAAATGCGGCTGTTTCCTCAACACCATGAAATATTCTGCCTTCATGCTTCATGTTTCAGCTGCAGAGGATTCCGGAAAATTGCCGAAATTATTTTCTAATTAAAAAAATATGAATAACTATTAACCTCAACTCTTTTCCTTTTTTTCTGTTGTGTTTTCATTCAAAATGAGACTGTGCACAAGTGGACAACGAGTGAGGGTGACTTTTTGCAGTGATGTTAAAGCAGTGACTCATCACCGCCGCACATGTCTCCGTTTAAATCCGTTACCGCTTCGCTCTGCGTTATGTTTCTTTTCCTATTCTTTTTTTTTTTGCCGACTTCAAAATGAGAACTATGACGCTTAGAAAAATGTCCCATGAGACTAAAATAGGTGTCGGAGGGGAATTTGGCTCCTAGAGTTGTGAAATGACAGCAGCAGGTCTGAGTGTGTTTGTTTGGAAGCAAAACACACCGAGTGACAAATTAAACAGCTCTGCCTTTTCAAACAAGTATGAAGGGTTTATTATCTTTGAATTCGTCAGGCACCTCACAGGCTAAACCCCCAGAGCAATGTGAAACAGAGAGGGGACAGGGGGGCATTTCACAGTATTTTTATTTATTTTTATTGCAGATAATGATGGACAAAAAATTGCATTTTATTTTGTTGTTTACACATACTATATGTTACACTCCTAATATCAAAATAACAAACATCATAGGTGGGTTTTCTCAAGCTTCACAATGAGGCTGCATGTCCATCAATGTGATAGTGAAACTAAAATGAACAAGAATAGTCTGTGAAGATAAAGTTATCGACCAAAAGCACACTGCAGCAAATAGATCAAATCTGTTTAGTTGTGTAAATAAAATACCTCAAACACAATCTAAAAACAACACACCTGCATCAGCAGGTCAGCAGCTGCCATACAACTCTCTGTGAAGTTAAATATAAAGATTACTTGTATCTTATTATAATCTGCCATGATCTGACTAATCACCACTCTTCTTTTGATCTTTTGAATAAACAAAAAATATTAAATTAATCTGCTATAATATAAAGAAACTGGTAGCTTCATGTGGAATTCCCCTAAAGTGTCCTTCACTTAGAATTCTGTAATTATTCTTTAAACATCTTTGTTTAAACTGTTCATATAAGACCTTTCTTTTATCATGATTCCCTTAAGGTTAATTGTTGGACAATTTTTAACGAAGGTATTACTAAGCCAACTACAATAGATTGTTTTTCATTGGAGAACTGGCTGATTATTTAAAAGACAATTTAATTCAGAGATTTAATTATTTGTGAGAAAACCATGTGAATAAAATGAAACATTTTATGTTTACAATTCAAGTGTGGGCATCTTTGTATTTTCTGGATAATAAATCTGCTGGATTTCCATTTTGTTTAGATTCTATGAACATATAAAATGTATTGCGAATAAAAAAAAAACAGGGAGTATTGTTTACAAAGGCTAAAACCGGAGGAGAAAAAAATAATTTAGGGTATTATTTGTTGGAATTATTACGTTAGAAATTTGTTATCACGTATTTACATTA